AGCAACAAAAATGCAGTAAAATATTTATAAGAGAAAATAAAATTGCATATTAAGGCAACTGTTTGCAATAATTCAAAAAAAAAAAAAAAAAAAAAAAAAAAAACTCTAGCTTTGAAATTGAAATGAAGATTTTTTTAACAAGCTTCATATCTTAGAAAGCTTCATATATATCAAGTGAAATGATGCCAAACACTTAACACTTAGCGTTTTATTGGCAACTGAAAAAATATGTACTTAACCAAACATTTTGTTTTCAAACAGTAAAGTGTATTAAAGTTTTGAGCCAAATTAGCTAGGCCAAATTTGTGCAGTCTCCTGCTGAAACACTTTTAATTTGTTATTTCAATTTTGTTATCTTACAACCCGCAGGTGGCAGAGGTTTGAGTGAGCTCAAACATTGTGCTTCCTGTTCAATTCAAGCTTAGATGAAAAGACTATTTAAAACTACATACATTTTGATGTTTTATTTCAAATGGAGCGATAATTTATTTATCAGTCTAATAGGGTCTGAAGGACTTTCAGTTAATATTGCACAAACTGTATAACCATAATAAAAGAGTAATACAACAAAATATCATAATTTGTTTTAAGCAGCATGTTTTACCTGCTTAGACACACGTGCTATAATTAACACGCTTTGCAAATCAGAAATTTTGAAAAATCAAACTAGATTCGTAATAATATCTCATCGGCCCGACTTTCCCCTTTCTAAGGCGTTGAAGTGTGATTGCGAGATTGCGTTTTATGTTAATTTATACGGTATCTCCTCCTTCCTTCCAACATGCTTTATTAGTGTAACGGCAGCACACTCGGTGCATATTCGAGAGGTCCTGGTTCAGTCTCGGAGAGGGCATTGTTCATTTTTCACGTTTCCTGCTTTAAAACAAACTAATGACTCTAAAGTGGCACCCGAACTAAAATGTGGTGGACAATAAACCGCCACCATAATAAAGTGATTACCGCTTTCGGTTTTAGTAGCGGCCAATGCCTATAAATTGTCAGAGACCACCACTAGAATAAAAGAAAGATGGCGATTGGTCATCGATAGCTCAAAGCGGAGCATCAAATGTGTCCTCCTCCACAATGGAAATTCATTACGGAAGTCCTAATAAGCCATCCAGTTTGTTTGTATGAAGAATATGAAGATGTTAAGGAGAAAAGAAACGTTAATATTGTTTGGTTAAACTGCCTGGTTTACTCAACTTTCTCTTAGTCCCGCGACATACACACACAAAAACGTAAAAATAAACCAAAACACAAAAACTCTCTTTAAAAAATAAATCTGAAAACAATTACTCACAATTTCTCCTTTGACAATCTGTACAACGATCAATATTGTAGCCAAATTATTAGTTATGTACTTTACTATAATTACACAATTTTCATTGATCACTAATCTCATTTTTAACATTTTCCAAATCTACCAAAATCATAATGAAACACCTTACAATTATTAATCTTTATAAATAGTTACTCAAAAACGTAAACTCACATATAAAGCTAGTTTAGAAGAACTCATTATTCCTTTCCCAGTAACACATAGTCAATTTTTCTTCTGACATTTAGAAATTAAACTACTTGATATAATCTCAATACACATTAATTTTGTGAAAATTTCTTTTAAGAAACATTTATTTTCCCTTAATTTAATTTAAGTGATAACTCATGACAATTAACCATTTAAAAATAAAAATCACTCTCTCATCTATTAGTTAAATAACCAGTAACAAAAAAAAAAAAAAAAAAACGAGAGGGAAAAAAATACACTCACGGAAGCCGCATACAGAACAGTCTGTGGGACTTGGGGAGCTACCGGACTATTTCTTTAATACGTCGAAAACAATATTCGGTCGAGACTTAATAGTTGTCAAAAAACGTCTGATAACTGTTCGACGCACTTACGGTTGGCTATTTCATCGCTGTCTGAAACCAAGTCTATTGACTCCCTCCAACATATCAACTCCTTCTCAGGAATCCCTCACCGTCAATTAGCAGAAAGCGATTATCAAGCAGTCAGCCTCGCCGATTCTCTATAATCGGCAGTCCAGAGGTTTTGATGAAAGTTTACGCAATTATTTCAGCGGCTGGAAATCACCCTTTCGAAACAAGGAAATGAGCTCATCTTTTCCAATAGGGAAAAACGGATACTCTCTAACCGTTCACATGAGAGCTGTCTACTTTCTTTTCTGATTCTCTTGAATTTTTCTCAGGCGACGATTCATGCGTGCCGAAACGCGATAAACCAATTCCAGGTCGCCGGACAACCTCACACCAATAACCCGCATCGCCCAGGGTCCGGTCCTGCAGCAAGCAAACCACGGGGAGGCTGTGCGTGGACCCGCAGACCGCGACCGGCCCCAAAGGAGCTGCCGGGCTAACTGCGCTCCTTCTTGTCTAGAGAGTTGTTGATTTTCCAAGAAGCTGAAAAACTGGAAAAATCTGCTAATCATCTCTCCTGCCTCTCGTGCAACCACTTTTAAAATCTCGGTGACGCTCAAAATGCGTACTACTCTATAATCACTATTGGTTCAAAATATCAATAAAATTTAAATTAACCAATCCTACACAATACTTGAACTCTCTCTAACCAACTAGAATAAAGGCAATTAATAACCACCAAATTCGAAGAAAAATCAGCCCTCTCTTTTAAGTGACATATCCTTTTTTCCCGCGCAACCAACATCGAATATTTTCAACCTATAATTCTGTCAAGTGCGCGGCCCCGATAGAGCTATTCGCCTTCGAACAAGCAAAACGCGTGTTCAATCCCGAAAGATAAGGAGACAAAAAAGGCAGCTGGCCGCCGACCTTTGACCCCAAAGTAGTCGGTCCGTGAGAACGAAAAAACACGCCTCTTTAGCTGTATCAAACTTTTCGCTAAATAAGAGCTTTATCTTAATCAAATGCAGAAATTTAAACATTACTATAAATTAAAAATTAATTTTAAAATATGAACATTACAATTTCACTATTTCTCGTAAATTAATATATTAACTAATTAAGACACAACAACACGCCGAATAAATACTAATTCAGAAGTCAAACAACAAAAAGAACAATAAAGAGAACAATTCAGAAGTCAAACAATAAAAATCTTTCTGTTCTAGTTAACGATCCTAATTCCAATCCAAAATTTGCCTTCGGCTTTTAGAGAAATTTATGTTTTAGTTCTGGTTTCGCCAACAGATGGCGCCACTTGCTTATTCTTGTCCAGGCTTTCTTATCTTATCTAATCATTATTTCCTATCTTGTTCATTTGCGGTTTTGCAGCTGAAGATGATGGTTCGGTAAAACCATCGAAACTAGTCCTGTGGAAATTTTGTAGGTATAACGCTGATTTTTGTTGTTTGACTTCTGAATTAGTAATATATTAACTAATCACTATAAAATAATACATAACAATTCTACACAACAAAGATATAAAGAGAGTCATTGATTTTCTGCAATATCACATGCATCAGTAGATTATATACATTGACTTTAAACTGAGCTTCTTCCTCCTTAGTCAGCAAATACATACCAAGCATCCCTGATTTTTGAGTATGTGGGATAGCAGAGATCGTGAGAAGCACTGTGTACAATCGAACTGGCCGTCAAGATTTGACCTGAAACTTGGTGACCCAAACATCAGCCACTTGTCGACAGAGAGAATATTTCATTTCCCCCTCTGCATGTAAAGCTGGGTCTCATGAAGATTTGCCAACTGACAGAGACTGTTTCAAGTATCCCAATCCCATTTTCCTAGCCTGTCGTTTGAATAAATAAAGGCCGGTGTGTCTGATGGTCTACAATCGACAGCTCCTTAAAGATGAACATTTCATTGGAACAATTACAATTCTAAAGAATACTTAGTGGGCATTCAAAACCGTTGTCAAAGACTTCAATTTACGTTATTTTTCTATCACATTTGTTTAATAATTTATTTATTGATTCAAATTAATTTCACATGCATTTTTGGAAACTTGTATATTTTTTCATTTATATATACATTTTCTTCAATTAGTAGATCTTAAATTCTGTAAGCCTCAAAATTATTTTACATAAGTTTAAAAATATGCTCTCTCTTTATATATATATATATACACGCCTTTTAAAGTATTATAACATCAATTCGAAATTCATTTTTAGTATGGTAAATTTTAAAACAACGATTTGCGCATAATGCAGCATTGCATTCTTCACAGTATAGGCCAAGATATTTTCTTATACTTGCAATATAGTACATAAGAAATAGAAACTGTCATTCCTGAGATACTATGCTGTTGGAGTTGGTAGAACATTTTGTGAAGGTAGTTGATACTATGATGTGGTACTATAGGAGCAATGTATTGTATCGTAAGACGAGAGATAAAATAGTCGATTGGTTGATATGCATCTATTGTGAAAGAACTGTCCAGTTGATGATTTAAAGTACAAAAATAGAAACTGTTACAAAGATAACTCAGATTAAGTATTCAAAGTAATTTTTTTCCTGTTAAATGATGCGCAGACTGAAGTTTACTTAAATTACACCAGATAAGTATTACAACTGAAAGAAATCTTACCCTTTGCAGTGGATTTTTCCAAAATTCTGTTCGACTGGCTGATGTGCACGTATATCTAAAGTGGACCAGCTGTCTAGTTGAAGATTAAAAGTATAAAAATGGAAATTGTTAAATCAGAACCCAGATTAAGTATTCAAAGTAATTTTTTTCTTGCTAATGATGAGCAGACTGAAGTTTACTTAAATTACACCAGATAAGTATTACAACTGAAAAAATCTTACCCTTTGCAGTGGAGTTTTCCAAATTTCTGTTCGACTGGCTGATATGCACCTATATCTAAAGTGGACCAGCTGTCCATTTGAAGATTAAAAGTATAAAAATGTAAATTGTTAAATCAGAACCCAGATTAAATATTCAAAGTATTTCCCTCCCATTGATAATACAGAGAGCGAAGTTTACTTAAATTTCACCAACGTTAAAGTTTTTTATCAGTGAATATTAAAGTGTCAGTTTTACCTCTTGCACTTGGTTTTTCCAAAATTCTTCGAACAATGCTGTCGTAATAAGAGTCGCCTGCAACTCCGGAATCTTTCGTTAGTCTCTCTTTCACTGCTAGACAAATGCCTTTCTTCAGAAGAAGTTCTTCTAGTACTGTAAATGCCTGCAATAATAAAATATTTTAGAACCTTGAGAATATGTCCTTATATTTAACATAGCTCTAAGTTATTAGAAATTACTTCAGAATGAAGTGATATCTTTACACTGAAATGGTTTCGATCAACATCGATGGAATTACCTGCTATATGTATGCATAACGCAGGTCATTGTTGCTTTATTCCCACATACCTTTCTTTATTCCTACTTACATCTACATAAATGTATTGTTTATTTCACATCTGATAGACTTATTACACATTTGATAGACGCTAAACTTTTGTATAACATGTTCAGTAATTAAATGACTTCTACTATTAAAATATAATAAATTTGACTAAATATAATCATACATATAAACTAATTAATAGTATTCACTTCCTGCTTTTTAAATACCACTCAAAAGAAGTTTCTCGTGATAAAAACATCTATAATTACATTTGCTGAATTGTTTTCAATTTATCAGTTTTCGTACTTATTAATGGGAAACTATAACTTAACAAAGCTACAATCTCTTTTATTTTAAAGAAATGAAGTATCTTCAGCTTTGGATTCACATGGTGGAGGTAGGAAAATAAAATAAGATTTGAATGCTTAATAAATTATCGTTTTAGAAAATATGTATAATTTTTCGCAATAATATTTTTCATATATTTAAAGATATTTTTATGTTTATAAAAGAATAATTTTATAAATAATTCAATTATAACGAAAGGTTCTTCTCAAAAAATAAATATTAATTGAAAGTTTATTAAAGTTTATGACAACATACGCATAAAGTGAGTCAGAAATATCACATGTTTCACGTAAAAAGTAATGTACTGCTTCATATTGTAGAGGGATATGTTGAATGGTATATGAAATCTGAAACTTTTCTTTTGATTTTTGTTTAAATGAAGAGTACTTACTCAAGGTTAAATCATCAACCAAGATTGCACTGAATAAGCTGCAACGTAAACGATTGCATAATGCGAGTCTTCGAGAATGGAAAGATGTATGATTGCAGCGTTTTGTCTCTGCCAGCTATAGGAAAGCCGGAAAACAATAGTTTACAACGAGAAATACCCACGAAAGAAATCATCCCGAAAGAACTCGTAGAACCATCGATAAGAATTAGAAGTATTAAAAGGAAAAACAGTTTGAAGCAATAAAGTAAGTCTGAGTTTATATTGTTTCGTATTTTCTTCAGCCTACCAGCGCCCGAACGGTAAAGTCGCTGAACTCTGCTAGTTCGGTCTAGGGTTAAATTCCCGGCGAACAGGCTAGCATCATGGACGTTTTCATGGTTTTGCGCATGTGTAACGTGTATACGAGTCATATGTGGTGGATGATAATTCGAACGAACATAGTTTCATGATTCATGAAACTATGTTCGTTATTAACTAATTAACTAATCATAAGGAATTTCTTATATGTGGGACTAAAATCAATTTCAAAAATTACTTTTATGACTGTTAATAGGAATTTCTAAAGAAATATTGAAATTTTCATCTGATACAGACATATTAATGTACAACAAACAACAACAACAAAGAAATTATTTTCCTAAAAAAGCTAAAAGAAGAAAGAAAAGGGGAAATCTAATTTCCTTTTCTGGGGCAGAAAGAAGTGACAAACAGGAAACTGCTGATAGTTTCTGTCATAACTCATTATTTTATTCGCTCATTTCAAATATTTTCGATAATACATATATCCTTTATTTAAGTTTTATTTAATTTGTCACTTTCAGGAAAAAACAACCCCCCCCCGAAAAAAAAACGTATGTTTATAATAGAAGAAAAACAAAAGATACGCCTAATCGTATGACCACAAAGTAAATAAAAGGTACTAATTCATAAAAAATATAATTTCTTTAGCAGATCTTGCTTATTATGAACACGGAAGATTTGAAATTTTTACTTTTATTATATGCAATTTATGAAAGGTTTGCATTTTTAGGTCGCATACATTTTGATTGCCTTCAACGGTTAGTTGGTAAACTGATGAGGTATGCAATTATTAAAGACAGAAATGCCTTTTTGAATGTCTTATTAACGGAAAGCTGCTAATATTTATCTTACACGTGGGAACACAATAAAACTCCATGCAGCCTGCTCGCCTTCAAGGATTTTGTTTTCCGAGGGCGTCATGGCGTGCCTTAATATTATCCCAAAAAGCAGGCAACGTCAACTAGTTCGTCACGTAGGAATTATTTGCTTTAATTCTAAATCTCATCACTTTATTTATCAGATCTAAAATTAGATCTATTATAATTTAATATTCCTTTTATTATTTGACATGTGATTATAATTAAAATAAAAATCTCAAGATTTATGTATATGCTTTAATGCTAAAGTTAGAATGCCGTGCAAAACAGAATTTCTAATACAGTTATAACAATTATATTCCCATATGTACAGTAAAAATGTGTCTTCTGTCTGTCTTGTTACCACTTATATACCCTTTTTTGTTCCTTGGTAAAGTATATCAGCATCTTTTTTCAGTAAAACAAACTCCCGCTAAATGTGTATTTTCAGATATCGTTTACATTTCGCAGAGTTAAACTTTTTGACTGCAAAACTCCATTTAAAATCTCTTAGGAGCAGCTCTTTCCTGAATCCTAAGAGCTTTTTCCATAATGCTCTTTGGCGGTGGTTTGTAAAAGTGTCCTTCAATTTCTGTATTTGTCGAGGCAGTTCGCCACCTAAAGTGCATGGGATAAAGCTTTCAGGTGGCTTCATATATTTTCAAATTGTTATATCCCTTTTCAAAATGTCTACTTTCAGGCCAAACGCAATGCATTTATTTTGATGCATATAGATTTTATAGTTTTGTCTATATACTGTTTGAATGTACAATAAATATGTTTTCTATTTGGTTGAAAGAGGATACTTTCTTTTTTCTGTGGTTTTATTATAAGTACTACTTTTTTTATTCAGCATCTCAAACTACCGATACAAAGTTAAATTCAGTTTGCTTTGATTAAACATAAGCCTAAACTTCTTAAATTGCCAGACGATATATAATATATATCATTTCATTTCTAGAACGTTAAGTAAATGCACAATGTATTAGAACTAAACCATTTATTTTAAACTTCAGCTTGAAATTACAGAAACTAAAATATTAACAAATTTAATTTCTACTTCTTGTGGGACGGGCAGATAAAAATTATTTAAATTATTTACTACCCGGTGTTTATATTTAAAAATTTAATATTTAAAACCTAACAACGTGGTTCCACTATTCCGCGATTTCTAATGTGATTTCAATCAAAAATAAATTCACCAGCTTGTATTTCAGCACTCAAAGCAGGCTGAGGTTTCTTACACTCTCTTTTAAACTTATATTCTTGCTCATAGTTTAAACTCCCTTAATTTACATTTTCTGGTAATTCTGAAAACAGTAGAATTACATGAAGAGTTCAATATAAGAAATAATCCATAATTAACTAAAATAAACCTTACAATACAAGCAGAACATATTCTTCCTTACAAAATGAGATTATTTTGTTGACTTATCGATGTTTATAATATGCTAAAAATTCAGCCCAAAATTTGTTGATTCTTTTAAGTATGAAAACATGTTCAAATTACTGTATTTAATGTATAATTTGTGAGTATTTTTCTGTATATTAACATAACTATGAAACCATGTAATATTGAACAGGTCAAAAAGACAGAAATAAAAAAATATTCCATTTTTTATGTAAAAAACACTTTTCTTAGAAGAATTAAAAAAATATTGACCTTTTAATCAAATAACTTTGATTTCTTTATTCGAGAGTATAAAATTTAGAAAGATGTTTATAACACCTGTCTTCGGTTCCTTTTAAGTAAGATAATTCAATTTTAATCACTACTAAATTTCTAGTTTTGAAGGCAAACAGACAAAGAAATAAGGTAACTTTAAATTTATTCTGCCTCATCCCTTGTAAGGGTTGAACTTAAAATATACAACACAAAATACTAGTCAACTGGACCTGCCTTAAACACAAGCTTCTTTGAACCTGTTGTAAAATTGAAACAATTTAATCTATTCCTACCAAGGGCTATAAACTCCGCCTAGACTGCCGAAAAGATTCAAATGTTCGATTTACCAACACAAAGCTAGCCTTTCACTTCCTTAAATAATTCAATATCACCGTCGTTTACATGTCAAAACGCTTACATGTAGCTATACTTCAACAGTCGAAATATTATGCATGCTTATGTGGCCAAGAAATGTTAGCTTTAATAAGCTAATTCAGCTAGATAATGCCTTATAGGTTAATCAACTGAATAACAATCAAGTTGAATGAAGTCCCCTGGGGAGGAATAGGAGGCAATTAAGAAGAAGAAGACCATTGTCTCATGAGCCAGGCAACTATCAGAGTAGTTAAAAGAAATCAGAGAACACGCATCCCGAGAAAACCAGAGATTAACCCAGACTATGTAGCGAAATTGTTTTCTATAAGCCAATGAGCTGCAAACGACCTAATGTTAAAATTCCTCCGGGAGGATCTTATGGTTTAAGGAGGCGGAGGAATTGCCCTTGGAACAGCGTATGCCTTTAGTACAGAATTTCTCATTCCACTCCTGCAGGTAGTCAAATACATAACTAATTTTTAAGGCATTATACAAAAGCTTATTTCTAATATAAAAATGCACCCTCAGTAGTTGTTCTAAGGATCTTACACACAGCTATTTGTAATTATTCTAACTCTATTCCAAAACTGCTTGCCACTCTAACCTTCATAAATTCTAAAATGAAAGGACCTCACAACGAAGAACCTCCCAAAGGGAAATGAAGCAGAAAGGAAAGATGTAAATTAAGTAACATTTTGTTAGTAAAACATAAATGCCACAAGTAAAGGAATCTAAGTTACGGGATTATATAAAGAAATTTTATCCCAGAAAGAAAAAAAGTGAAATACAATATTACATACTGACAAAATGGAAAAGAATTACTGTGCGGGATATGATTAGGACTATTTCGCAAAAGTATGTTTGAAAAAAGAACAGCTTCTTGAAGTTCTCGACCCTTTTT